CCCCAAAACCCCAAAACCCCAAAACCCCAAAACCCCAAAACCCCATGACTATAAAGTGGGTTTAAAAATAATATTTCCGCGAAAAATGGTACTCGAGCTTTAAATACACCATTGACTTCTCTAGATAAGCCATAAATGAGCCTTTTCCAGTATCAAAAAGCCACCAATTTACCCGTGAGCCAATCTGCCACCTTCTCTCAGACCAGAAGAGGACTGCAAGAAATTAAGAGTCCGATCAGGCTCCTCAAATGACTCATTTCACAAATAAGATGACAATGGAAAGAACCTCTCCAAGAGGCTCTGCTCTGTTCCCATCTAAAAGAAGTAAGCCTGGTATTAATCCCTCTTTGTAGAAGTTTCGATAAACCTAAGTGGAGATATTTCAGTGCAGAAAATAAATATAGCCAAATCTGCTCCCAAATGAGGATATTTTTAACCCAACTGATCGGGTAGATGAGACTGAAATAAAATCTGATTATTTTTACTTAAATATTCTTCTTGAGAACAATCAGAAAGAGTATGCTTACTTGAGCAAGATACATGAAGTATGGCTTCAAAAGGAAGATGAATATTTCGAAAAATAAGAGCTCACAAAATCCAAGTACCTCTCTGAATGACGGGCATGCTCCTTGTGATACAAATAGCGCGAAACCAGAGAAACTGTGATCTGAGCGAGCTCAAAAATACAGAAGGTAGGCTGACAGTTTACAAAATGTGCATGATTTACTCTGGTTATAGAATCATAATCAACTTCATGATCAATTTATCAGCCAAGATTGGCAATAAAGATGATAATACGTTATTCGTAGCAATCCAGTTATTCCTGATTTATACTTCCAAAGTGAAAATTTCAGTCAAAAATATACAATTATAGGTGGGTGCTAGTTATGGCTCAGCCAAGGCTGTTGGGTTCATTCCATAGTTTAACAATTTATAGTCGCATGCACTTGTATGATCATTGCACAAAAATACCTGGAGATTCAGATCAACTGAATGCAAGATTTCGTCCTTCTCAGTAAAAAGAAATTCACGAGTAGATGTATATAATAAAATGTAATAATACGGATAACTTCTAGGAGAAAAGAAAATTTTAAAGAAGTTAAAATTCAAATGAGAAGCATACCCCTCTGCCAACAAGTAAGCCCAAATATTTGAGGAAATTCCCAAAATAGATTAAAATTATACTTAATTTAGATTCGTGAGGCTATTCTGTGATATCTTAGATATCCCAGATCCAATAATTTGAGACATTCAAGTGGTCTTAATGGCATGAATGTACGAATACAAGGTATGGACAAATTAACATCTCTTTAGTTCACTTGAATTAGGAGTAGTCATCTAGCCATCGCTGTACTCAAACTCTGATGAGGCATAACACTTGAAAATACTGGACAGGAGCTCCTTTCAGAGGATTTTGTACAAACTCTCCTACTCAAATACTCAGAAAAATGTCGTAAATTACTCACCATAACTGTAAAGCTGACTTAGAAGCATTATCAGGCTCAATCCGAGAGCACATGAGCAGAGTGTGAGACTCAGAAAAGAGCACATATTCAGCAATTAAACTAAAAATACAGTAAATCTATATTTTAAAAACTAAATGGGGTTTTGGGGTTTTGGGGTTTTGGGGTTTTGGGG